CGGGCCCCAGGGCTGCGGCTGGGATGGGCTGCATCTGGGGGACCAGGAAATAAAGCCGGGAAGCAAATGGCCCAACGGGGAGGGGTAGGCGGGGGGGGCGGTGTGCACGGCTGGGAGCACAGCCAACGTGCAAGGGTGTGAGGCTCCTGGGCCAGCCGAGCAGAGGACTAACCGGAGGTCAACAAAACCTCTTCCTTTCCACGCATGCAGACAAAGGCAGACACACCCGCCAGCGGGCTCAGGAGGAACCCCCCCTCCCAGCAACAGGAGCAATGCTCAGCCGCACCTGGGGTGCCCCCGAAGCGGCTGCTGCTGGTCTCAGGGCTGTGACACTAACCCAGAGCGGCTCCACGCTGAGCAACGTCCTTGGCCGGCCACTCGGCGCACTCCCCCTTCCCTCCCAAGGCATCTCTAGCTGCGGTCACATTGTCAGGAGCAGGGTGGCCAGCCCCAGTGACAGCACGAGGAGGAGCCGGCCACAGAGGGCAGCTGCTCCTTCTGCAGCAGCCCCTCCCGTGGCGGACCTTCCTGCACGCCCTGGCCTACCCCAGGAGGCCCCAGCACCCCAGCAAGGTCTCCCCTGGACACGGGAAGTCCCTCACTGCTGGACGTCTGTCCCTGGGGCCTGGGAGCTGGTGGCCAGGAGCCATAGTGCGGGAGCCACCTGACCAGTGGGAATGAAGCTCCGACGCTCTGGAAGATGGCCAGGAGCACATTTCATTCGGTCTCTCAAGGTCCAGCCAGTGTCCAGGCTGTGACTCAGAGCCCTTGCCCTCTCGGGCCTCAGGTGCAGTGGTGAGACCTACCGCGGACTGAAAGAGCATCATGGGATCCCCGAGGGAGAGATGCGAGTTCCCTCAACAGATTCTTACTTTCTTCCCAGAAGGTACCCGCCCCAATACAGCGTCATGGATTGTGGAAAAGAGATCCCCCTCCACACCCCCCAGAGGCCACCATACAACTCCGGCCCCTGAGCTCACCAAAGCAATGGCCTTGCCTGCCTCTGCACTCGTACGGGAGGGGTCGCACGGATTCGTTCTTAAGGAAGAAACGTGCTCTTGGCTTCATGCCTCAGGGTAATAAGCCCACCCTTTAAAATCTCACTGCACTGGTCACGTGTTTTCACCGTGCTGGCTCCCAGCCGGCAGCCGAGCTCTGTGTCCAACAGCTGCCCAGAGCCACTGGCACGGGCCAAGCACCCGGGGGGCGGCTTCCACTCACCAGACAGCGGGTCTTTGCCAATCATCAGAACATTGGGCAAGTTCATTACGATCAGCTGCTGCAGAACCTCCTACAGAAACAAAGAGGAAAGATCCCATTAACAACAGGAAACAAAAATAAAGGATGATGAACAGAATGAGAGCTTATCAAGTCACTGGATGCGTGCGGAGCCACTACAAGGCCACTACGAACATGCTACTATGTAACAGGAAGGAACAGTTAGGACATAAACGAATGTGAGAAGTCAAAGCTAGCTGTACTTCTGCCCCGATCGTAACTACATGCACATTATGTCTGCACATGTACAGGGACCTGGGGGAGAAGGTACGTTACATGCCAGGACAGCAGGACCAGGTGTGAGAGCCTTTTTAAAAGACGGCTTTATTTTTATGGCGTGGTTTGCTTGTGCAATTAAAAGTACAGAACGAAAATTAAGGAGATGCTGCGGGGTCTCTGTCACGGATGATTCGGGATGCTGCGTTCGCCAGGTCTCCAGTCCCCGGTACACGCTGTAAATGCTAAACGCGGAGTCTCCTCCTGCTTACAGCGGCGGCTTCCCCGGGAGAGGGATAAATCACAGCTAATCTGCGCCCGTCAGGGAGGTGGCGCGGGAAAGGAGCTGCCTTCTGGCCCTCACACCAAGGGTCTTTGAAAGCCGGCCCAGCACCAGCCATCAGTCATGCCCCGTGTCGGGGGCCTTTGATGAGCCCTCCGAGGAGTGTGCCGCGTGCACCCTGGCCACCACGGCCTCCCAGAGGCCTCCAGGGCAGGTCGCCTTCCCCCTCCAGATGGGCCTTGTTGTTTATAAATCAGGAGATAGAAACCTAATTTTACAGAAGACAAGTAAGGGGGTAGGTTTCATAAGTGGTCTTGGCCTTACAATATCTATCTATCTATCTATCTATCATCTATTTTTTTTTGCTAAAGCTCATTGTCATCTAAAAGTGCAAAAAAGGAGACATATGTACTACTATTTGTAATACTCTAAACAATAAAATAAATAAATAAATAAATAAATTAAATAAATAATAATAAAACTCCCCCCCAAAAAAGTGGTCGCTATAGAAATTCTTCACCAACAAAAGCTCTTCTTACGCCTTTTTAAAATGTTGCCAACTTTTTTCAGGACTCACTCGATTGCGTAACGTGCTGAAGCTCTGCATTCAGTACCTTGCCAGCTAGCGCGGATACAGAAAGGGGGGGTGATTACACAATCGGCCCAGCAGAACACCCCAGAACTCTCGCTCTGAATCATCAGGTTAGGATGGTGGCCTGGGCACGCAGGCCGGGAGATGCCAGCGCCGTCAAACAGTAAGTGCACTGACTTTATCCTCCCTTCTTATCATCTTTCCGTGGCTCCTGTTCACACCAGAAATTGGGGGGAAGGGATGCTAAAACATGAGGTGTACCCCACTCCCAACACACCGGGCTCCTCTCCACTTGGTTTTGGAGAAAGCTTTTCTTTGCTACCTGGGGTCACATGTCACATCAGAGATGCCTACTGTTTTCTTAAACTGTCAGTGGGTAAATGCCTGTGCTGGACAGAGGTCTGAGTTGTGTAACAGCTTCAGCCCTCCTTCTGGCCTTGGGAAAATTCAACATGAAAAAATTGTCTCTCAAGTGAATGGCTCACCAAAGGATTCCACAGTCCACTCTGGGGCAAAACACGCGCCACGAGCAAAACCGGCAAAATCCACTTTCCAGCTGCCCTGCCAGCATGAGGGAGGACTCCCACCAGGTGAGCCCTGAGTCCGAGAGGCTCTGTCCGCTTCACACACAGCTCGATGCTCAGCCCAACTTCTAGAAGACCCGCTCGTTACCACTGCCCCGCCATCCTCAGTCCTGGTCTCTGCTGGTTTCCCTCTGCCATTGTCCACGCGTGTGGTGCAGCAGCCCCACCCATGCTCAGGGCGCTCGAAGGGCACAGGTTTCTAACGGAGGCACAGCGTGGGTGCGAACCTGGAAGGTCGCTGCAATCGTGCACAGCGGTATTTCTGTGCTCACGATCACCTAAGCCAAAGCCGCTGGAAACACTGCTAGAAAGCCCATGTGTGTTCAACTTTGTCTAATCGGTACTTGCTAATTTTGCCCAAGAAATAAGTGTCACTTGTGCAGTTAAGAAGTAATGTTTACAATACACAAAATAAAACTGAAAGTAAATTGTAAAAAAAAGTTAGGTTTTATGAACAAACTATATTTTGTGTGTTTTTAAAATTTGTTCCTTTCAAAACAGCATGGGTCTCCTAAGATCTAATCCTGTGGCCCAAACCACTCTAGGACCCCCTCCAGGACCCCACGCACATTCCCAGCAAAAGCAGGCTCAGGGATGTGAGTGACCAGGACAGTAGAAATATGATGCGAGACAGTAATTTCAAATGACCCAGTAGCTCCCCTCAAAAAGTAAAAAGAAACGGGTGAAAATACTAATATACTTTAATGATGCCAACATACCCCAAATATTACCACTTCACCACATAACCGACAGGAAGTCGTGAACACTTCACATTCTTGCTGCACACCGAGTCTCTGAAATCCAGTGTGTCGTTTATACTCACAGCACATCTCAACTCGGACACTACATTTTCCTTGGAAACCCTTGATCCGGGAAGTAGCTTCGCATACCCAAGTTCTCCCAAACACCCTGAAAAGCGTCCCAGTAATTGAATCGAGCACCACTTTTTAAATTTAAATGAAAAACGCCTCAGTCACACTAGCCGCATCGGGAGATTGCGACAGCCACATGTGGCTGGTGGTATCATGCACCCCAACACCCGTGCTGAGGGGACCTGGTGGCCATCAGTCCCTAGCTAACGGGTCCCCTCGGGGTGGCAGGGCTCCAGGGCAGCCGGCCAGGCCCTCCATCTAGCAGGGACGTGAGGAGGTTGCTGACAAGTGGGCCCTCCAGCCTGGCACTGGGAACAGAAAGCCACTGTGGAGGCGGCAGCTGACTCTGGCTGCTCAGCGGGCACCTGGCCACACCCCCGCTGGCATGCGGTGGGGCTGAGCGAGGCCGGAGAGTGCAAGCCCAGGGGTGTGCTTGAACACTCCCCCCGCAATGGGGCCCCTCCTAGTGCCCCCCAGGCCTTCACAAAGGCAGTCACATCCCCAGGCAGGGACGAGGGTGCACACAAGCCTCCATGCAGCCTGTCTCGTCACCCGGTCCTTGTGGCCTGACTCAGGCAGGAGAGAGGAGTCAGGCTTGAAGTTCAGCCTCCTGGAGACGCCCCCTCCCCACAGAGCGTGGGGGGGTTACCATCTGTGAGCCAGGGTGGGCTTGCACCACGTTTGCTCGTGGATCCTAATCCAAGATGCTGGGAGACCCCAGGTTCTCCTGTTCATGAATGAAACCGGACGAACGGCATTTATCCCACCAGTAACTGCTTCACACGAATCAAAGGAAAAGTCACAAAAATGGACCAGAGGAGGGTGGGTGCGTTTGGATTCTGAGCAGCAGGGGGCTGGAAAGTGTCTGTAACGTACACCACCCAGGCTGCAAACCTAAGTCTAGGATCTTATCCATCCCAGTGTCTCCCCGAGGGCGGTCATGATCCAAACAAGGCCCCACACGTGTCCGGGAGGGAGGGGACAGGCCGGGACACTCCCCAGGAAGCGTCTGTCACCTCAGCTGGCGGGGGGGTCCCAGGGCTGCATCTGTGCCAGCAGAGGTGTCAACAAGCCCCGCCAGCCGCCACCCCGTCAGATTCCCAGCTCCCTGATCGGGAACCTTGGAGGCAACCGAGGGTGAATGGGGCGTGCGGGGGCCAGTCTGCAGGCCTGGGGCACTGGCTCTCAGGCGTCATGGGGAGAGAAGGTCGAAGAACAGAACCAGGAAGGCGAGTGGACCCCCTTCCCACTGGAATGGTCTTGTCGTGACAGGTACAGATGTTCTCGGTGGGGAGAGTGCAGCGCACGGCGGGGTGCCCCCTTCCAGGCTTTGTAGGTGGTGGAGCCCTGCTAGTGACAGGAGGACAGTGCGGGAGGGAGGCAGGAGCAGGCTCCAGAGGCACCTGGTTACATGCAAATCGCACACCTGACAACAATCCAGTGGTCGTGGATGAGGGGGCCTCTCTGCCACCCACAGCAAACGAGACCGGCACCCAGGTCCACGGCTTCGCTGTGCCCACGGTGCCAGACGCTTGCTCCCCTGGGCCCTGCATTCGGAGCTACGGCAGGAGGCTGGGAGGAAGGGTTCCCAGAGCACCAGCCACTTGAGACAGAGGCTCGGGGATCCCAGTGCCACCCGCCACCTAAGGTGATGCAGGGGCCTGGCTGAAAGGCTTCAGAGTCCTGCCAGGCCCATGCTGACCTCTGCGCCTGCTCACAAGAAAGGCCGTTTTCTCCGCTGGTGGAAGCAGTGCCAGGTCCTGTTAAAGCTGCAGGGTGTAAACACTTTTGTGTGTGTGCCCGGCAAAGGTTATCTTGTTTCCATTCCGAACACTGGGATTGTTGGGTTAAGAACAATGATTTCATAAAGAAACGGGAAGAAACTTTTTCTCCCCGCTAAATGAAATGGAATGTTATCTCTTGACATTTTGCTGGGAAGGAAAAATAAATGCTGCTAAAGGCCAGAGTTTAGGTCCAGGGAATAACCCTCCGTGGGGGTGTGCATAGGAGCTGCTAGTGCAGAGTGAATGAGAGGGAACGCCCAGAAAACTTCAGACAGACACCCGGCAGAGGCCTCCAGGTGCAAGGTGATGCTCACGGTTGCCAAGGAGATCAAGATGGCCCAGACAACACAACGGGCCTTCCACACAGCCACACAAACACGAGGGACCTAGCCACGCTCTCAGAGTCGCTATTGAACATCAGAAACGCGAGGGCGTCAGGTTGGAGTGTGCCCCCCGCACTCACACGGCATCTGTGAGCGGAGAGCTCTCAGCCTCGCCAGGAAGGCAGGCAGGCACACAATCCTAGCACAGGTGACACCTAGAACAGGTGTCAGCGCGGCACAGCAAGGAGCACGACCAAACGCTGCCCAGGGAGTCCAGGGCTTCCAGAGAGGCGGCAGCCGAGGAGCCCAGCAGGTGAAGGAGAGAGCTGGGACGTGTATGGACCACCTCCTCCGTGCAG